TTAATAAAGACAGTTAATGAAAACAGTCCCAGCCCAGCAGGAATCCCAGACAGACACTATCAGCAGCCAGCTACCAGTGCAACTTTGTACTGCTTATCACGACCCTTGCGGCCCCGTGGTCCAGCTAAGTTGCCAGCCACTTCACAGTCTTCTTGAGCAGTCCATATTTCACTGATTTGGATGGAAGGATGATACAGGAGACCTCGCTTAAGGCCTTTAAGGTAAACTCAGGCTCACCCCTTGTCCATCGAGTTAGTCACATAGTCGTGCTAAGAATTTGTTACACAACTTTATGCTGAACTGAAATTGCTCCTCTCCAACTCTTTTAGGTGATCCAAGAGGCTTCTGCGCTCTACCCTGGGGCAGCTTTCGGGCTCTGTCGCAGCTCAGATCCTCTGCGACAGCAGACAAAGCGGCAGCTCCAATTACTAAGCAGAGGAATAAATACCTTCTCGCTGGGAGGAAGTCATGTGCTGCCAGCAACTAGAGCAATCTGCAGTGTCCCAGCTAACACAACCAATTACTGCGACTGTTTTTCAGTCCTCTGTCCAAAGATACCACCCACTAATATTGTGGGCTTTTTTTCTAACTCTTCACAGCCTCCAGGGCTGTCACAACACCTTGGGAGACAATAACCAAAGTATTAATAAAATGCTACAGCCAACCTAGTCTACAATTTGTTAGAGTGCAGAGAGCATTTCTGAAATGAGAGAAAACTGTTAATGAACTTTTTCCCCAAGTAGGACACATCTTTGCTTAGAATGCCAGGAGATGATACTCCTGCAGTGACCATAGCAGATACTCGTAACTACAAGCACAGCATTTTGTAATACAGTTTACCTGACAGTGCTGGGACAGAGGAAACCAGCTGAAGTTAACTAGCCCATTCTTTTAGAACAAACCTTTAAACACACGTTAAACACTTCTTAAAATCTATGAGTATTTAGCTTGGTAGGCTAGCCTACTACTAAACCAAAACAAACCAAGTTGTATACAAAAATAAAAATAATCATCTTAGCATACTTCAAGGTATAATCCTATTGATAACAGCTAAACCAATATGTAAGTATCAACTTACATAACACCCTATAAACATTCCTAATGAAGTTTTTCTTTTCTTTTTTTTTTTTGAAATTAATATTTCCAAAGATTCCTCTTTGGGCAGAATCTTACACTGCGTCTCAAACAATTTTGCAGAAGTCATGAGTCCAGAGCAGCTTTTGCAACCAGCAGCCTTTGTGACCAACCTTTCAGTGGCCGTCCAGTCTTCTTTGTGGTAACATCAAACCCACCTCAACACCAGCTACCCGCATGCAGCGGCGTGTGCTGCTTCCATCACGTAGAACACACTCGGGCTGCTCTGCTCTGTGCCAGTGCAGCACATCCACGCTGAGAAACACACCAAAACACGCCACTCACCAGCACAAGTCTCAATCTACTGCTATGACCTCCAATATAGAAAAATAAACCAGTTTGCAGCTTAAAATAATAATGATGATGATGATGATGATAAGAACAGGTTTGTGGCAGGGGTATAACAAACTTCTCATTTATCTTTTTTTTTCTTTCAGTTTAAATCTGCTTGTATGAATTTTGAAGTCCAGAGCAGTTGCGTTCCATCGTATTTTCGTTTGAATAATTATCAGGTAAAAAAAGTCCCAAATCATTTTACAGTCTCCCAGCACGACACATGTAGCGTCTTTGAAATCTCTAAGTTATGCAGATGAAACAGCAGTTTTCTAAGCTAAACCAGTGCACACACAAAAAGAGCTAAGTTTAAGAACAGAAATATGCAGCCAGCGTAGCAAAAGCAGCGTAATAAATTAGCCGTATAAACACTCTTCCCACTCACGGTGGCAGATTCACACTAGTGGCTGCAAACACCCATCCTACCCAAGTGCCGAGGCCGCACCCAATGTTGGGAAGCACCAAGGAGCACCTCATCCAGAGGGTGACCAGGGAACGCAGACATCATAGAATCAGAGTCAAAGAATCATCATGGTTGGAAAAGACCTTCAAGATCTTCGAGTCCAACCATAAACCCTTCGACATCATCTCTGCTAAATCATGTCCCTTAATGCCTCATCTATACCCTTCCTGAGCACTGCCAGGGATGGTGATGCCATCGCTTCCTTGGGCAGCCTATTCCAATGCTTGATCACTCCTTCTGTGTAGAAATTTTAACTAGTGTCTAACCTGAACCTCCTCTGGCACAACTTGAGGGCATTTCCTCTTGTTCTACCTGCAGTTATTCTGGAGATCAACTCCCACCTCACTACAACCTCCTTTCAGGTGGTTGTAGAGAACAAGAAGGTCTCCCCTGAGTCTCCTCCATACTAAATAACCGCCAGGCACACCAGCACCCACCTTGCTTTCTACGTGCATGGCTCCCAGCATGGCAATCAGGATTTTCACCCATGTGCCAAAGCTCCTTAGGTGGTGCAAGAGGAGACTGGATATTTCCAATGAGATGGCTACTCATGCCAAGCCTGGCATTACCTAAAGTCAACACATTCAGGGTGATTCTGTGATTCAGAGCTGCCAACATTTTGCCATCAGGGAAGCTCAGGGAATAGGAGAAACTCCTCAGTTTTCACAGAATCACAGAAGGGTCGAGGCAGGAAGGGACCTCTAGAGATCATCTAGTCCAACCCTCCTGCTCCAGCAGGGACACCCGGAGCACGGGACGGCATTCAGACAGGTTAGGAAGACCTCCAGAGAAGGAGATTCCACCTCTCTGGGCAACCTGTGCCTGTCACCCTCACAGTGTAGAAGATCTTCCTCATGTGGAGATGGAACTGCCTGGGTTTCGATCACCTTTACTTAGCAGGGCTGGCACTTTTGCTTTTAGTAATATAGCTACAGACAGTACTCACAGTGCCTCTTTTATATTGAAAGACATCATGGTTCAGCTCCCATCACTAGTGGAGGGAATTTGAATCTGTATTTCCACCTACCAGAAAATCTCAGAGAAGAACTCCAATCCATAGGCCAGAGGGCAACATTTTTATATACCCTCTTCCTGTCTCAATGAATCACACATTCTTTTTCTGCATAGTAAAGCAGCTTCAGTCAATAGAACTAAAGACAACCTCCAGCTTGGCAAGGAGGATCTTTGCCTGAAAAGCAGATGATGTGGGTTGATCCCTCAAGGCAAAAAAAAAAAAAAAAGAGGAAATTGAAGCAGGTCTACCACATTCTGAGCAAATGCTTTAACTAGTAGTTGTTACAGAGCAGCAACACCTCCTCTTCCAACTGTCTTCTGAAGCTGTTGCTGTATTTTACAGGAGCCTGATCCTGCAACGCACGTTGGGTGCAATCAGAGAATTCCCACCAGATCAAACTGCTCAGGGGAGCAGGGCAGGAGAACAACAACCGCAGAGCGGACGCCAGGACGCCGACGCCTCAGCAGCATCCTGGGAATCACCTCTCGTACACTTCAACAACAATAGAAAATATCAGATAGGTTGGGAACTTCAAAGTTCTTAATGATGCTGCCCACAACCTTTAGACACCTTTCGAGCTTGATGATAAAATAGATTAAGGGACTTCACTTTGACCACAATCACCTAGAAACAGGTTTATCAATTTTTTTTCCATCAGCTATGATTCTGCTTACTGATAAAAGCAGATTTAGGGATGGAGATCAGACTTAGGGTACAGTGTCATATCAAAGTTGCACTTTGGTGCCTTCTCAGACTCACTCCTGAGAGCCAGGTAACATTAATTCACGGAGTATTTCTGCAGAGGGAACAACACACTGAGAACAAGACCACCTGCCAATTACTACAGAGTAAGCAAGGCATCTGTCCTGAAGCTCAACTCCCTTTGGAACACCAGTTAGCAAGTTGCACATGGTTGGAGAACCATCCATGGCAATAAAACCACACACTTAACTTCTCTCAGTTTGTTAGCTTATTAAATCACTACAATAACTTTCTCCCCAATACTTCACTGTTCATCTCTGCATTCAAGTTGCAGCACTCAACCTCCGAGCAGAACCCCACAGATATCCCCAACCACGGGCATACTGCTCCATAAACCCACCCGAAAAGGCACAAGGATGCCAGTCCGCACAAGAGATAGGAAACCACCGAGTCCACGGTTCCTGCAGATCCACGTGCCAGGTTTATCCGTTCCCCACACAGTGTCACCGTGTGCCAGACACGGCAACCTCAGCTATGCCCTCATCCTGGGAGAACATCTGCTCTGTGGGCACCGCAGCTCCTTTGAATTACTCTGGATCTCTACCCCTCTTCACGTGGACAATATTGCTTATGGACATACTACGGATACACCTAAAAAAAGTACAGGACTTCTTAAAATACGGAAAAAATAGAGAATAATGATTCAAGCCTAACGCTGTGGTGGTTTTCCACACGCTACTCGTTCCTGGAGCTACTGATAAAGTTACTGGTTGGGTAATGGGAGGGTTTGGGCTGCCGGGCGCCGCTGGGGGCCCGGCCGCATGCGAGGGCGCATCCCTGCGGAGCGCTGCGCTCCGGCCGGGAGCATCCGGCTCCTCTCCTGAGTCACATCTGCCCTGTGCAGCGGCGTGCCAGGATGAACACTGGGGGCACAGGGCCCCGCAACGTCCCCTCCCGCTAATAAATAAATGGAGAAAAAAAAAATGAGAGAGAATAAAAAGGAACAGCAGCACCGAGAAGGACGATCGGTTACCGGCACCCTCGCCAACCGACCCGCTGCGGCTGTGGGTAAAATCCCGCCGCGGAGCCGCGCCGAACCCACGCGCGCCGCCGCCCCCCGCCCGGGCGCGCTCCCCGTCTCCCCATTTCCCCATTCCCGGCCGGAGGGAGCGCGGGCGGGAACAAAAGCGCAGCGCGCCGCGCGCCCGGCCCGGCCCGCCCCCGCTCCCACCGCGGAAATCCCACAAAGCCGCTGCCCGGCGGGAAAGCCGCGCGCACCGGGAATGCCCGGGGACGCAGGGAGGCGATGGCGCGCGGGCCGCCCCCCCGCGCCGCCGCCGCCGCGGGCCTCACCTGCGCGCTCCTGGCGTAGGGCGGCCTCGCGGCGCCCACGTGGTAGCGCCGGGTGCGGATCTTGCCGCCGCC